CTGATGTCCTGAGCCCTTCCCACCCCAGCCCAAGAATCCCTTCCACAAATGTCTCCCAACATCCTTCCCACAAATGCACAGCCATAGGCCCCGTTTATGTGCCCCTCCAAATGTGGCTGTTCAATACACTCTCTCATGAGGAACTTCTTTCCAAGAATTCTATGGCTTCCCATAGGACTGTGGGAAGCCTAACATACCCTCTGCCTTAAGGCAGACAGGAACAAGGACTTATTTGGCTGCTGAGGGCAAGGATGCACCCTGGAGGCTCATCTTGCCCACATAAAATTGGCAGCTGTATGCGGGGCTGACCCTCCCTTAATCAGTCCTGGTGGACAGGGACAGTCTCTCTCCCCAGCCCAGACAGAAGACTAGGGACAGGAACTAGGATCAAAGAAAAGCAATGGATTTGACCCAAGGCTGTGCTATAAGCTAGAAAGGGAGAGAGAGTGGTTTGTGGGCAAGGAGGAGCCTAGCCTAGCTCTGCCCAAAGGGATGAAGGAGTCAAAGAGAAGGTCTCTGAACCTCTGCTTCCTTCCCAGAGATATGAAGCCTGCACAGCCGCCTCACCTTTCTCTGAGAGATTCTGGGGCCATCAGCCAGCCATGGTGGGCAAAGCACTAAAGGAGCAATACAGGAAAAAGACTCTTTTCTTCCCTACAGGGGAACCCCAAGGCTCCACAGCCCTCTTCTGGAAAGGAGAGAGCCTGACAGGGTTATTCTCGGACTTGCACAAGATAGACGGAGAAACTGGGCAAGGGTCACCTTCCAGCCAGCCCAGAATTGATGGGGCTCAGGGACATGTATGACAGTTCAGGTCAAGGTCAAATCCAAGTCCCAGTATGAAGTCAATGTCAATGAAGTGTCTACATTCAGGAGAATCCAGAGGGTCTGGTCTAGCTCCTCTTCTCAAAGCCCAAAAGGCTGTGGCCTATAGGCCTAGGGGCTTCACCTAGCCCCACGCCTCCATCAGGGCCCCTGCTGACAGCCCCCTTTGCCTGTTTCCCTGCTCCTCTCCACCCACAAGAAGCCACATACACAGTGAGCCACATCACATGCTGAGCCATATGGTTTCCTGTGCTCAGTGAAGGCCCCCTGTAGACAGCAAGCTCTTTGAGGGTCAAGGACAGTGCCATGGCAGGTCTCCACAGGGCCCAGCACCAGGCTGGGCACATGACTGGCTCTCCTAAGTGCCTGCTGAATTATTTAGACACGAAAACCAGTTTCATGAAAAATATGGTCCTGGAAACAATCCATCACATTCCTGGGAAGACAGCCCCCAGCCCCTCTCTCAGCCCACCCTGCCCCATCCACAGTTTGAGCTCTGGCTGGGAACTGGGCTCCCATTCAGCCCATCTGCTCAGTATCACTTTGGTTGCTTTTTCTCAGCTTCCTATTAGGAAAAAAAAAAATCCCCTTGAAAAACACAAACAGCAAAGAGGTGGGGGAGGGTACATGAAGGATGGATTGTACCAGGCATGTTGGAAGGGGAAAGGGATGGGGAGGGAGGTTCTCAGGCTGGAGGCAGTACTGCTCCTGCAGGCCTGTCACCTGTCACTGTGGGAGAAGCAACTGAAGGGCTGTCCGTGAGCGTACAGGGTATGATGAGACCAGCACTTCGCAAAAAGCAACATGGGTCTTAGCATTTCACACACTCTCCTGACTGCAGAAGGAGCACGCTCACTTCGCTGGGACCTTGTGGGAGCCATTTCACACTTCTGGGACTCTGGTTTATCTGTAATGGAATTGGCATACCCAACCCTGACATTCTGACTCCCAAACTAATTAACTGAAGGGGTATCCGCCACCCCCACCCTGAGTCAGAATTGCCAAGGGAACCAGTTCTCTCACTGCCCAGATGCTTAGGGGACAGAGAAGCAATTCATGAACACCCAGGGCTGGGGGGGAAGGAGGGAGGCAGAGACAGAGAGACAGAGAGACAGAGACAGAGAGACAGAGACAGAATGAATCTGACCTCCCTTCCTCCACCCCAGGGTGCTTCCGACCTCAGTAACCTAGGGACTCTGGTGACATCAACAAAACACAGACCTGATGCTCTTGGGAGACAAGAGAGAATGCATCTGCTAGGGGTCAGGGAAAAAGAAGGGGATGAAGGATGAGTACCAGAACCAGCTCCTCCACCCTGGATATGAACACAGACATCTCCCAGGCACCCGCCCCAAGCCAAGGCCTGGTGCCTCAAAGACTAGGGCCCAAGCTCTGCATAGGGAAAGAGCCAGACACCCAGCACTGAGGAGCTGCAGTATCACCTGGCAAGTGCAGACGCGAAGGGCCACTCCTCTGTGGTGAGCAGGTTGGTGTGAGGTGAGGACAGTGATTTTAAATCCGTGATGAGCAGTTCGCTTTTGCACAAAGGGAAAAAGTGTCCCAGCCACAGACAGACTCCTAATCACAGCTACAGGCTGTCAGCCACAAAATAAACCCAAATGACAGTGGCAAACAGAGACCCTTAATCCAGGAACAACTAACAGACTCACCCCAACACCAACCAAGAAAGGGTTCCAACCCAGACAGAATCTTTAGGACAAACCTTTTACTTTCTTCCTGCTCCCAGGTCTGACCTTGCCCTTGGTGCCTGGACAGAAATGTCACTGGTGAGAAATTCCTGAGCTGAGTTCAAAGAAGAAAAGGGTAGAATGTGTGGGACAGAGGATGCCTTTTGAAAATTGTGACTGCTGATCTACTCTGGGCATGCCTAAGGCCCCAGTCCCAGGAATGGCCAGAGCAGAGCAGACTCCCGATCATCCCTACACTGTATCCTCTTGGCCTCTCTGTCTTTCTCCTTTCAATGTCTACATCCTTGGGTCTCCCTTCCTCCTAAGGTCTGGCCACAGCTTTTGACTTTTTCACCAACTCCATTCACTCCTACATATTCGACAGCTGCTATCACCCCCATCCCTTTCCAAGAGTGGTCTCAATTACATCCCAGCAGCTTCCAGTGCATTCTGCCCGGTGTCCCACTTGGTCCACTCCTCCAGCTGCCCTTCCTTGTCTGTGAAATGCTGTTCCTGCACATGTAAGCCCAGTGTCTTACACAGAGGCCCCAGCACTGGCCTTTACCTGAGAGAACACCTCAAGGTGCCACCCCAGGAACCACTTATCTTCTCAATCCACCCATTCCCTGGAGAGCTTCAATTCCCTTCTCCAGGAGAACCACTTCAAGCCTGACCTCCCATCTTGATCCTTCTCCTAAGCCTGGCCCCAGATACCCAGCTGCTCACTACATGCCCCTTCCTGTGCTGGGCATGTTCAACTCAGTGTTTAATCATGACCCTCCTCCTCCCTCCCGGGCCATGGTGCCAAGTCCAGTTGCTCTAAAACTAGAGCCATTCTTTCCCTTTCTTTCTCCTCAAGTCCTCTTATGTCACCAATCCACTGCCTGAGAAATCTGAGATCAGACTACTTCCCAACAACCGCATTAGCACCTTTGAGTAAGGTTCTATGCTCTCCCCTTGGATTCACACAGTGGCCTCCAGTGTATCCACTCATTTCCACTCTGTCCCTCCCACAGATTTTCCTCAAAACATCTAGGGTGACTGTTCAAAAGGCCCATCATCTTAATCTCTGGCAAAATCTTCAATGATCTTGGGGCCCTTAATTAGAAAGAACTCCAGAATCTTTAGCACAACTTCCAAGTGTCTGCTTAATCTAGACTCTACCTACAGGCCTAGCCTCTTGGTCACTAAGTTAAGATGTTCTGGCCATTCTGGTGTCTTCTGTCTGCTACCTCTGGATCCTTCACAACATTCTTTCTCCTCAGAGGCCCACAGCACAAGCCCACAGTCCTGCTTCTCAAGTTGTATGCCTACAAATCACCTGGAAAGATGGCTAACATGCAGATTTGGATTCAGTGGTCTTGGCTTACACCTGAGGTTTTACCTATGGGGGGCACTGGAGCTCAAACTTAGGGCCTCCTGCATGCTAGGCAGGTACTTTACCATGAAGCTACACTGTCAACCTAAAGTTCTCATTCCCCAAGGAGGTCTCAGACAATACAGATGTGGCTGGTTCCTTGGCCTCAGAATTGCAAGGATGTAGAATGTGCTTTTCCTTTCTGAATCCACCTTTGTCTAAGTCCTACAAAACTCTCAGGGCTCTGTCTAAATGCCACTGTCTCAAAAAAATCTCACCTGTCCACCAAGAGCACCCTCAAGCCCCAATGTTGTACTTTCACTGAATTATACATGGCTTTTCCTCTGAACATGCACCAAACTAAACTGCCATGCCTCATTCTTGTTATCTTTTCAACTTTTGGCTCCTAGGGAGACTATCAGCCCCAAGAGAGCAGGAAACCACAATATCTTGTTCTATCAAAGGCCACAAGTACCCAGCTCTTGGCCTAGCACATCACCATCCCCAGGAATAGAAAGGTACTGCTCTCACCTAACCTGTACCTAGGTCCTTCCTTCTCATAACAAGACTTCAATTTTCCCTTGAGGAACCATGTCCCCCCTACTCTCCACTCTCACAGTTTTTAGGTCATGAGATCCAGGCCTGGCCAATCACAGCCTTCTGTCTCTCTGGCCACTGACTGATTTAGAGACAGACACATGACCAGTGGTGTTCTTCCCTGAGACTTTTGTTAGGAGTAGAAAGAGAAAGAGTTTTCTTTCTTCATGGGAGTTAACCAGTGGGAGCAGCTGTCACCATCCTGCTACCACAGAGACAAAGAAGGAAAGCAACACAAAATAGGTAGGAGGTCCTGGATGCAGCCATTCCTGGCACCTAGACTTGCTGTTACAGAGGGAAAAAAAACCTTCCCAATGGAAGGCACTGAGGTCACTGAAGATTTTGCCAGAGATTGAGATGATGGAACCAAGTAAGCTGTGTTTCTCTCACTTGCAACCAAGACTCCTGACTCATGCAACACTCAAATAAATATTGGGTGTTGAATGAACTAAGCGAGTGCATAAAGCCTGCCATGAGGACTTCAAAACTCCTCCTAGTTTTTCAAGCTCTCCCTTCAAATTCCCACCATCGTAATAGTATATATGTTGGATTAAAGAAATTTCATAGTTGTTGGAGTGCCATGAAATTGATATTTGCAATCCAGATTGCTGTAGTTTATACTTTTTCTCTATGTTTCAAATCAGGTGTGTACCATTTGTACTGAGAACACCACAGAATGAACTATCCAAAGACCAGTGATTTTAATGTGTTTTGGTTTGTAAACAAATTATAGTAATTTCTTGCACATGTTTGGAAATTATATATAAGAATATATATCTGCTTCTAGATACAATGTGTAAATAAAAATTTCATTCACAAGAAAAAAAAAAAAATTCCCACCATCTACCAGCACCAACAAGCTTCCTGCATCCAACTTTGAGATCACAGCCCAAAACTCAGATGCACCCAAGCAACCCATGCAGCTAGGTCAGAGGCCAGCTCTGGAGCTAGACTGCTAAAGGTGGTCTGGCTTCCAGGGCCTCCAGGTGTCCCACCAGGAGGAGAGTAGAGCTGTCCTCCATCAGCACCATGCTTTGCCCTACCCTCTGTTCACCACTGAACACTAAACCCAAGCAAGGCAGGCTCTGCTGCCTTTCACATACTTCCTCTTGGCAAATGTCACATGACTCTGTGAAGGGAGCACCCAATATGGGGTGATTTTTACCTGTTTCCTTCACAGGTGTCAACTTGAAATAGATTCAGCCAGGGAAGAGGGGGCATAAAATGGAGCAACAGGAAAGAGGTGCCTAATTATTTCCCTGTGAGTCACCTCAGAGCAGAGCCTTGGGACAGAGATGTGGCTGGCCTAGATGTTCCTGCAGATGACACAGGAAGCAGGTGACTCCTTCAGAATCAGTCTTCACCCAACAAAGTATAAAACGAGAGAAGGCACATGGCAGCCCAGGCAGGAAAAATGGCTGAGCTAAAAGTCCTCCCTGAAAGCCAGAACAGGGCTGTGTGCTCATTCTGCCCAGGGGATGCACAGGTGTGGTAGGGGGGAAATGACTGTCCCTTTTGAGGAAGGGAAGAGCCCTATGCCTCCTGAGATAGGCTCTCTAGGAAAGAGCCATATGAATAAATCACTGATAGAAAAAGAATCACTGATTCCCCCAGAGCCTCCAAGACAGCTTTCCCACAGGGGCGGAGCCAACAGGGCTATCTTGGGTAGTCAAGACAGGTAAACCACCCTGAATGTCCTCATCAAGTTCCAGGAAGACCCACCCTCCACCCCTACGACCTCAGGCAGCAGCCCCTTCTCTTCCTCTGGATTGGGGCCCTTGTTCCCAAATCCCACTGCTCCTACCAACCCCAGTCTCTCCTCTCCCCATTGCCGCTCGACACAGACACTCCTGGGCCTCAATCACACTTTCCTCCTGCGCTGGCAAGCTTAATTAGACCCTGCCTCTGGAGGTGTCAGGCCTCTACATCCCCCACTGGGATGGCAGCAGCTGGGCCTGGAGCCAAAACGACAGCAAGGCTTTGAGACTTTCCCTCCCACACCCTCCCTCCTGCTCACCGACCCTTGGCCTCTTACCTTCATGGTGGGGGGCGCCGTGAGAGGAGGGGACAGCGGCTGGTCTGGGAGGGTCACATCCGAGCTGTTGGCCAGCTCCTGCTTCCTATGAAGACACCAACGGACACACAAACAGTGAGCAAGAGCCTGCCTGTGTCCTTTCTTTCTGCTCTAAGGGGTGGATTGGCTTGGGGAAACAGCCTAATGAACAGTGTAAAATGCTACAATGGACTACTACATTTCTCTGCCAACATGTACCAGCAGCTACAGCAGTGCTACACTAAGGATGGTCCCTGAGCCATGAGCAACCTTTGGGAACTTTTCAGAAATGCAGTTTCTCAGATGCAGGCCAGAATCTTCAGAGGTGAAGCCCAAGAATCTGTTTAGAAAACACTACAGGCTACTCTAGTGCATCTGAAATCTCACAACCATGGGTCTATGGGCTGGCCAAATAGCTCAGTGGATTAAAGTGCCTGAAAGCATGCAGGGGCCAGGGGTTCAATCCCTGGGTCTGCCGTGCCAGCCCTGCCTCCGGGACACACTGAGAGGGTGATTGAGACTGGGCATGGTGGCATGTGCCTGTAATTCCAGCTCTTGGGAGGCTGTAAACAGGAGAATCACTACCAGTCTGATCTAGTAGTGAGACCCTGGGGGAAAAAAAAAAAACAAAACCATGGGTCTAAAGATACAAAATTCGGTCAAGGAAGGAAGAGAAAGGGCTAAAGGTCATGTGAGATGTATTCTTTCTTGGGCCCCTCTGACCACACATACACACACACACACACACACACACACACACACACACACACACACTGAGATGCCAGGGTTACCTGCTTTGTGAGCTGCAGGTAAAACTTATTTTAGTCCATGTGGGCTAGGACCCAGGAGAGGCAGCTAAACGGAGTTGTGTCACCATGGCAACATGATTGCAACAAGTGTGCCACACTCACACTCTCCCCACTTCCCATCTGGCCCTTTTACCGGTGACCAGGGAGAGCATGTTTGCTGTCCCATCATCCAGCAGACTGTTCAAAGTGGGAGAAGGCTCCAGAGTAAGTTATGTAAGAGGGCCAGCTGGCCAGAACCTGGGGAATCCCCAGCCCGGGGATGCTGGTGTCTGCCAGGATAAGGCTCAAGAGGGGATGGGAGGGCAAGGAGAACTGTACTGAGAACCTACAAAGATCAGGCCAAGCTGTCAAAGTCCCCAGGTTTATAAAAGCTCCACCTTAAAGTATCCAAGAGAGTCGGCCTGACACCTGTGTCCTACTTAAAATGATCAAAGGCCCCCCACCCCTCTGCCACCTGGAGGGAATGCTTCTGTACCTATTTCTAGTCCTGCCAGTGGGGGTGACGATTCCAACCCAAGCCCTCTTTGTAAGAGAAGCCCACATTCCCTACAGAGCCCAGCCCCACCCCCAGTTCCTCAGAGGCCTGGGCATGGCCCTAGAGCCCAGGCGCCATCTTATCCTGCTCCGCTCAGCCCATGGCACTGCGCCATCTAACTTCTCTTGAGAAGCCAAGCTGCACTACCCTGGCACAGTAACGCTTTCTGCCCATACAGCCAGCCATCCTCACTGTCCTCTGATCAGCCAAACATCTCCCTAAACTTCAGCTCTGGCCTCCACCAACTCCCTTTCCTGTAATTCCATCTGTCTTTATGCTTATTTCTTCCCCAAACTTGATGACACGAAGTGTGACAGCTGCAGAGAGGGTCTCCCTTACTCGTGATCCAGACTGTTAACAGGCACATGACATAGTAGGGCCAAGACTCAGTGTGTGCACACAAACGAAGGACAACCCACCTCTCCCGACCTCTCAGCTAGAGCCACGCGCTTCGTGTGTGGCATCAGACATCATCACTGTGGAGTCCTGCTGCTTCTCTGCCCTCACCTGCTTTGGCCCCGGCAGAGCTGGCCTGGCACAGGCCTGCCCTCCTGCCACTTGTCCCTTCCCACGCAGCTCCTATTTCTCCATGATGGGCCTGGCCCCTGAAAGCCAGGAGGAGGGGAGGGAAGGAAGAAAGGAAGGATATCAAGGTTAAGAGCACTACCCACAGGTCTCCTGAGATGAGGACAACTTGCCTGTGGGGTTGGAAGTCTGGGAACATCAACCAGAGAAGGAGGGAAGGCAATCCCAGTCCTCTGACCCCTGACCCATTCCCCTGAAGAGGGCTGGTAAACACTTTTAGCTGCAGCAGCTCTGGCTCTTCAAGAACCCTAATGGTGGCACCAATCCAAGGATATTCATACTCATGTGGTCATGTGGTCATGTGGTATGGTTTTATATCCATATCCATGGGACTGGAGCAGATGGGATTACTGTCCATGGTCTATGAATCGTAGAAGGAAAAGGTCCCCAACCTAAGCTCTCCCTGGTCTGAGCCTCTCTCCCGAGTCAGTTTGTTTCTAGCATCCAGATCTCATTCCTAAAGAGACAAGAGAAGCATCAAGTGGGAACACAAGGAAGTTTCCCAAATGATACCCAGGAGCAGAAATGAACACTCATGGCTAACAGACTCATTTTACGCCCAGCACTGTGTGCAGGAAGCGGGAGAGGCCATACAGGTGAGCAGAAGGCATGGCTACTCCCTTCAACAAGATCAGAACTCAGAGTATATACCCCAGCCCTGAGCTGCAAATCAGGACCCACCTTGCCTCACTATGAACATGGCTTTCAGTAATACCTACAGGGGCCCTCACCGCACCAGCTCCACTTATGGCTCCAGCCTTGTCCCCTACTTAAGAGCTGAGCACCTTTTAAGAACAAAAGGTGACCACGTAAAGACACAGGCAAACGAAGGGCCCCATGTGACAAGGGAGGCAGAAGCTAAAGTGACGTGGCTGAAAACAAGACGCCAAGGATCGCTGGCACTGCCAGAAGCTGGAAGAACATCTGCCCCGAAGCTTCAGGGAGCACATGGCCTCGCTCACGTAGTGATCTTGGACTTCTGACCTCCAGAACTGACCTAATAAACATCTGTTGCTAGTTTTAACACTTGGTAATGGCAGCCCCAGGAAAGCCATACACGGCCCATGCCTTGGCCTGGTGATTAGAAGATCAAAAACAAAGACACAAAATCCCTGTTTCCACCTCACCATCCCTGCTCTGATCAGCTGTGCTTGACCTTGTCCTGCCCCAGCCCTCATGAGAATGACAGGTTCCTATGAGCCACCCTTTCCCCAGGATAATCAGCCCTGTTCCAGCTACCACCTGGTACACAGATAAGGGGAAAAAAAAAAGGTAAGATAGAATAAGCTACAGTGCTCAGTGTAATTCCAGCCCTTTCTTTTCCACCCAAACATATCACATATGAGTAGGTCAAAGCGATGCGATTATATCAAGCGATAACCTTCAATGTGTTTTCATTTATTATAAGCAGAGGTGACAACTTTCCTGTGAGTCACAGGAATCTTGCCACATGCCATAGCCCCAAGGTCAATCTAGCCATAAGCTACTGTAAGACATGAGATCCCAGGTCCACCTGGGGACCCACAAGGGCCCACAGAGGAGGTGTTAGTGAGGGATACAACCTAGAAGGGAGGAAAAAGGAAGATGGAGAGAAGGCAGAGGGGAAGGGCAGCTATACCTGCAGCTGGAAAAGACAGGAGTGAGGGCAGCTGCAAGGGGAAGCCCTAAAAGCTTCCTCTTCCTGAGACCCTAGTGTATTGTCCACTCAGCATGTCTGCTGCCCAGAGCTGCAAGACACCGACGTCCCCCACTCTGGGAATTTGTCCCTGAAAGCATGAGAGATGCTGGGGTAGAGGGGAGAGTCCCACGGAGGCCAGGTATAGCTTCAGCTAGCTTCAGCCAAATTGCAGCCTCAGGAGAAAAAGATCAAAGGGCCTTGGAGTGGAAGACAGTTCACCTAGATAGGACTGGTTCATCAGACAGGGATGGATGGTTCACAGGAGTGATCCTGTGACAGCACCCAGACCTCCAGGCTCCTTGCCTCCACCTTCAGATGGCCCTGCCAGACTTTCAAGGTCATGCAACTGTCCACTGTCACTTGCAAATTCCTTTGGAGAACATGCTAACTAGGAAGCAAGAGATTCCTGGGCTCAGGGTCTGTTCTAACCACTATTCTGCCATATGACTTTGGTTAAGTTACCTCACATCTCTGTGTCTCAGTTCCTTCACCTGCAGAGAGGCAGGCAACAAGGTTCTGAGGAATTAAAAGTCATGGCTGTAAAATAAAACATGAAGCCTGTTCTGATGCAGGCTGTGATGATCATTTGCCATGAAACAGTGATCTGGCCTCCATGTGGTGACTGCAAAGCCAAAGTGCAGAGCTGTTGAAGTATCTTGGAAAACATCTCTGGCATCTCAAATAAGCACCATTTCTAGCCCTGGGGATGTACTCTTAGGACCATAACCTCTAGTTAATAATCAACAGCAGAAAAAATACCCACCTAGCAGCAGATGGCTCCAGGGCAGATGGTATAAAGCCTTTCTCTGGCAAAGAGTTCTGGGAAACCTGCAAACTCTACTTTTCTGCATCTCTCACCACCCCACTGCCCAACCACACACAGCTCTTGCCGTCCAAGCAGCCAATCTAGAAAATACAGTCAGCTGAATGCTGTAAAGAGCTTCACAGGGGAACAAAAAAATAAGAAACATGAGTCACAGTAGCCCAAAGGTGGAAACAACCCAAACATTCATCAACCCACAAACGCAATCCATACAATGGAGTATTATTCAGTCATAAAAAGAGCTGAAGTCATCACACACAGTACGACACAGATGAACCTTGAAAACACACTAGTGAAAAAGAACGGGCACCAAGGGCCACATGGTACATGATCCCATCTCTATGTAAAGCCCAAGTCAAGAAATCCAGAAATAAAAAGTAAATTACTGGTTGCTAAAGGCTTGAGGACAGAGGCAAGAGTATGACTACCTGCTAATAAGTACAGTTTCTTCTGCAGGTGATAAAAATATTCTGGAGCTCAACTGTGGTGATGATTGCACAGCTGTGGGAGTATATTAAAATCTACTCAAATATATATATGTGTGTGTATATATATTATACTTTATTATATCATAGGAGGATGGATTTTATGACATGTGAATTATCTCTCGATTTCTGAAAAAGGAACAACAAAGAGG